GGTCGTACTCTCCGAGAAGACGTTTAATAAGTGAAGGAGTGATCCTCTTTGCCTTTAGGACAGAGCCGAAGTTACTGGCTGTAAGGCGGCCCCTTCTCGCCAAAAACCAGGCCGGGTTGTCTTGCTGGCCAGCAGTTAATTTGCTAACGCTTAAAATGTCCGTTTCTTGTAATCTGGAAAGGCGAACCAAACAGTCCAGCTGCTCCTGACGCCCAGTGGCTTGAAGAAACTCGTCAGAGAAAATAATTTCTTCTATGGTTGGAAAAGGAAGCTGGTAAGCAATAGGTGGCTCAGGGCTGATTAGCCAGCAGAGCCCCGTAAACCGCCCATATTCCTTCAGGTCTTCGTACAAAGCGCAACGGTCAGCTTGTGTAGGCTTTCTCGACAAAGCAGAATACCTTTTAGGTGGGGGGAACATTTCTGTGCCCGCTTGAGTTGAAAGCGATGTATTTGACTTTCGTTTCCGCCACTGGCATTCCACGTCGGTTCGGCTCAGATTGTGAATACCGTGAATAAAGAGGGCTGCTGCGTGACTGCATTTAAACACGCCTCTTGGACATTCACACTCGGTTGATTTGATTTCATGTTCTTCATCCAAATAAATCTGCAAGATGTCAAGATTAATGGCATTTAGTGCGGCAAATAGAAACGGTTTTTTCGGCAAGATGCTACTAGTAAAAGATTGATGATGCAAATAACAACTCACCGTCACTTTATAAGACTTTTTTTCATGCTTGCATGTACTTCTCCTCGTAAAACACCCTGCTGGTAAGTAAATGCTTCAATGTGATCTGACTTAAAGTGGTTTTCCCCCTTTTTTATAGATTTTCTTTCTTCTGAGACGAAAGAAAAAAGCAAAGCGATGGATAATGTCGCCATTTTTAATCGAATGGTCTATTGTTTAGAACTGAGATTTTTAGCACTATGGAAACGTGAAGTCACCGCTTAAGGACTCTATTTGGACTGTAATGCTAAGTAGCGATACATTAAAAGGATCTACCACTGAAGACGAGTAGAGACAAATTGCACACGATTTTCAATCAAAATGGAATTTTGATCTCTGCGAAGGCACAATAGATGGAAAGCATGTTGCTATGCAACTCCCTCATCAATGAGGTTCAATGTTCTTCAATTATAAAAGACGCACTATAGTACTGATGGCTGTGTGTGATGCAAATTACTTGTTTACAATGGTCGATATAGGTGATACAGGAAGAAACAGCGATGGTGGGGTATTGGCGAATAGTGCTCTTGGCCAGTGTATTTTAGAAAACCGATTGCATCTTCCTCCGGATGAAGAAATTGAGCAAACATCTATCAAATTTCCTTATGTATTTGTAGGTGACGAGGCTTTTCCTCTGAAAGTGAACATAATGAAACCTTATACAGCAGCAGCATTAGGATTCAAAGAATGAATTTACAACTATCGATTATCAAGGGCAAGGAGAATAATAGAAAACTGTTTTGGCATTGCGGCATCACGGTTCAGGATTTTTCGAAGGCCTATCATTGCAAAAGTTGACACTGTTGTGAAAGTAACCAAGGCTGTTGTAGCTTTGCACAACTTTTGTATGATAAAAAGACCAAATCAAGTTGAATCACTCTATTGTCCTCCAGGATTCAGTGACAATGAGACACAAAATGGATTTAAACCAGGTGAATGGAGATGTTTTGTCACTGACTACACTGGATTGATAAACATTGGAAAGCTTGGCACAAAAATCTACACAAGAAATGCAAAAACTGTTTGAGACAGTTTTAGGGACCACTTCTTTTCTGTAGCTGGTTCTGTACCATGGCAAATACAAATGATAAACAGCACAACAAATCCTTTTGACCATCATTAACTATAGCAACTTATCTCACAGAATCTCCCACAATGCTGTAGATTATTTTCTTCCATGAAATTAGTTGAAATGTTGTAAAATATCAAAATGTGCTAGTACTGACATAACACTATTTATAATTCGTCTAGCAATAAGGATGAACAGTTAAAACTAAACATTTCAATGCAATCCCCAAAAATGTAAATAACAAACAATAATTCATTGTTCTTCATTTATGAGTTCAAACATAACTTGAGAAATTTTACAACATGCTTTATTTCTAATTTTTGGGGTCAATTGTTTCATTTGACCAATAATGCTTCGACAAAAAAGACTGTCTGTATCATCTTGATCATGATTGTTTTCTTTTTTACCCAACAGCTGTGAATCATTATGTAAAGCTTTGACCAAAAGGGCATCAACCATTTCATTTGTGTCTTGTTTTCTCTTGCATCGTTTGGAGTAGTTATTAATTGGTTGAGTTTTCTTCATCTGAATATGTTAATCTGGGGTAACAGGAACTGGCGAGGGTGGGCGAGTTTGACATTAAAGAACTTGAGGAGACATCAGATAAAGCAGAAGAAGTAGTGGGAAATATATTTTTAAATGGTTGTGTTGGAGATCCTTCATTGACGATGGATATATTGCCATAGGTTTCGTGTGAATAAAAATAAAAATAAACTTGTGAAGAAAAATATTACCAAAATGTAGATGAGGTTCCAAGGAATCTTTAGATATGTAGAAACAATATAAACTGTACGAGGAACGTCGAGAAATCCAACGATGTCTTCGATGCCACGTGAACAAAACAGCGCGCGTATATTATCGAAATGAAAGAAACAAATTTTATACTATTTCTTCCACCAAAGTACACGAAAATGGTCTCAACATGACCAGAAAACTTTTAGCTACGAAGTGTAGGAATTTTTATGGCGAAAATGTAGAGATTTAGGCGGAAAATTTCGAAAAATCCGGAGCGCAATCCAAAGACGTCATGTAAACTACACTTGATCTTATTTTGGGTGGGGACTGGCTGAGTTAACGTAGTCGGGGTGTGCAAGAACTACGAACTCACAAGTGCAAGACAGGTACACTCAGGGAGGCCACTAGAAGCGAGGCCAGGTCAACAATACAGAACAGGTGATCAGGCAGTACTTCCAATGAAGGCGCCCCCTCTCTCACCCATTCACACACAAGACAACACATTATGTGACAAAGTCTTTGGAGAAGACCAACGACCCGTCCGTTTGTAAATGTCCAACGATACCATCGAGTAGCCACTGAACCTGGAACATGTGTGGTGTTAAATGTCGCTGTTGCATCTTTATCGTAAAGCGGCAAGTGGCTTTGCATTTATGGAGTGCCAGGACAAGATCGGATCGAAGGTGATCGAAACGGTGACGGATGATTAAGCCAGAGATGGTGGCGAATGACTCCTAGAAGAGCAGTAAATACCGATGGCATTTTATCTAGTTTTTGGATCCAAAGAAGATGGTGCTGGTGGTAAGTACTACAGTTGGACGATGTGCTTGGATTAATGGTGTGATCCAAGCAAGGAGACATACTGCAGCTGGACAGTCCATGAATAGGTGGATCAAGGAATCTGATTGCCCACAAAACCAAAGTGCATTCACGTCCATACCGAGACGATCAGCTGTTGGAAGGGCCCCATGGAATGACATAAATGCTGTGTCATTAATCGAGCGCACATAACGCCATAATGGGAGGGAGCTCCACACCAAGGGCTAGTGTACCTGGATTTGTTGATTTTCAAAACGTTTGACTGACTTATGCGGTTTGGCTTGGGCATGACAGAGGATAGTATAGCCAATTTTGGCTGTCATATCCGAGAGGAAGATTGTTGATTTCTCTCTAGGGACGATCCATGCATCTTTATCACGACTACCTCGTAGTTCCACCCAGGTGGTGATGAGTGAGCCATAGAATTTGGGCTTGCGTCGGATGAGATATGCTGGGATTGTTTCTCTTTGAAAGAGTTCGAAGATTGTTTGCCGAAAGATATTGTTCAGGTGATAAGCCAGCATTTCTGGCCATGGTGGTGCAAAGGTTTTTGTCAATAAACGCCGCAACCAAATGACTCGGAGCGAGCTGATTTTAACTGCCGCGTTAATGACATCAAGGCCACCATGAGAGGGGGGCTGAACGATGGATGTTCTGGCAATAAGTTCCCGAGATTTGTTCCAAATAAAAGGGAACAATCGTTTGTTAATCTCATGGAGTACTGTTTTGGGTACCGAGAAGATGGTTGCCTGGTACCAGAAAAGAGAGAGCCCTAGCGTGTTGGCAATCAGGGCTCCACCATCCAGGGTGAGCGAGTGTTGTTTCCAAGCCAATAGGCGCAAGTGCAATGTTTTTAGTAAGACATCCCATTCCGGCAAAGTACCGTTGCCGACGTGGCAGCCTAATCTGATTAAAAAGGTCTTGGACCATTGTAGAGCGATGGGTAAATCAGTCCTATCAATCAGTCCTATTGGATTTTGCAATATTAAGTTTAGCTGCCGATGCGCGTTCAAAACGGGCGAATAGGGTAAATAATGCACAAAGACTGGCGTCTGATGACACAAGGCAACTTGTGTCATCTGCATATTGTTGCAACTTGATGTCTGTGCCGAGGGCAGTTGAAATCCATCTATTTCAGGGTCTGAATTGATTGCTTGAGCCAATGTTTCTGCTACCAACACGTAGAGCAGTGGGGAAAGTGGGCATCCCTGACGAACACCACGAGAGATGGAAAAAGGTGCGCCCTAAGTGTCATTCACCATGGATACCCACCCACGAAAAGATGGTCCAAAATTCATGCGTGCTATAACACGCTGCATGAAGCTCCAATCCACCCGATCGAACACTTTTTCTTGATCTAAAGGGATCAGAGCAACCCCCATAGAGTTAGTATTAGCGTGCTACACGATGTCTTGGACGAGACAGATCAATTCACCTGAGAATCGACCAGGGATGCCACAACTCTGACATGGGGAGATTACCGAAGCTATCACGGCAGACAGACAAATAGTGAGTACTTTTGACAGGATCTTATAGTCCAAACACAGGAGAGTGATCGGTCGCCAATTTTTCATCTCTAATCTATGATTCTTCTTGTGTAGAAGAGTGATGATTCATATGACGTTGCTTAAAGGAACTAATCATCTTAAAGCCAGCCTCAACACTAATTGCGTTGTGTCCAAATTATTGTAGATGGAACGAGTCATTAAACCATCGCTCTTGAACAAGTTAAAAATCGATAAAGAACACAATGAAGCGCAAATTAAAAAAATAAAGAGGTTTTTTGTCAAAGGTCCAAACCAGCAAGCACACACAAACCACCCACACGGAGAAGTGTGCGGCATTTCCAATGGGGTCCATCCGCTTATAATAGAGAAAATCCACGAGCTTGTTGCAGCAGGTGAGGCATACTGATTTTAAACATTCATCAAACTCTAACGGCAATACGGCCTTACATTATCATCCAGAACTATTGGGCTGTTTTTATTAAATAGGTGTAACACAGTGGCAGGAAGTTAAAAAGTTACTTACCTACCATGTGGAAAACATATTGTTCCAAGATGATAAAAGTCCAAGGCCCTCAACACTTAACCGGTCATTTTATCCAACCAGCACAGACATCATCAATCATATCTACTCAGCTACCAACAAACAAAAACTTAGCAAACTGGATCAGGTGAATTTGCAAAAAATGATTGACGAATGGACAAGCAAAAACCCCACATCAAAGTTTCACTTACGCATGTGTACAGTGAAGGAAGAAAGGGAAACGGCAGAGCCAAGCCAGAAACTTTTATATGTTCATCAGGAACAGTGGCAACAACGTCTGATGGTCAAATATGGCAACGAGATTTCACTCATTGATGCTACATACAAAACCACCAACTATGCCCTTCCTTTCTTCTTTGTTTGTGTAAAAACCAACAACAGATACGCAGTTGTCGGTATTTACTGCAGTTTTGCATCTTATAAAATGCGCATGCATACATGTTTGTCAAAAAATACCTAAATAAAATAAAATAGAGGAAAAATGAACATACATGCCCGTATGTTTTAAAAGCAGAGAAAGGTAAAAAAAAACTAAGATGAAGGTAGAAGTAACAGTGAAGCAAGACAATAAACTTAATCTCCTTCTTTTACTAGCCCGTTTTTCATTCCATACAAAGACAACAACTATAGTCTATTATGGTCATTTTCAACATCATTTGCTTATGTTAACTCCCACGCTGGCAATTGACTGCTGCTGGTGCATGGTGCATTGTGAAGTCCAATTGTTTTTAAGCAATATACAACACTTTTTTTAGGAGATTTTGTTGTTCAAGATGAAACGGAAGAGCAAGTAAGTGAAGCACTTCACGTCTTGCGGGAGTGGAATCCTGAATGGAAGCCAGCAAATTTTATGACCGACTTCTCAGTTGTTGAAATTCATTCCATTGAGTCAGGTAAGTTGCAACATTGCTAAACTATACTATAAATTGTCAAGGGTCTGAAAAACTATTTTAGAATTAAATGGCTTGCTGAGGGCTTACTAATTGCGAGAACGTAGAGTAAGTTGCAGTAAGAGCAAAGTCATTGAGAATGCCATGCCTCATTATATGTACAGTAGTTAGTTGATTTTTGATTTTTTCTCCGAATTACAGTTTTTCAGGACGTGGGAGCATCAGTGTTTCTATGCAGTGGCGAAGCTGGTTGAGATAACAAGGTCATGCTCATACGCTAGTGCACAGCCCACGAGGCACCACCATGGTTGGCGCCGAATGTCAAAAATTTTGAAAATTAAATGCCTTAAACTCCCGGAAAACGCTTTTTTTGGTTTGTATTTACGAAGCTATAACATGGAACGTCACGCCTCGTACAACCGTTTAAATTTATTTTTCAAATATCCTTCAGTCTTGGACTGTTTCGCCCTATGTCAGGGCTCATCAGCATGCCTAGGAAACACACAACACATCCACTCTGGAAGTATAAAAATGTGATTCCGACATAGACAGCCCTCATTAGAGCCTTTTTAATGAGCAGTCTGGTTTTAAGGCGCCAGATTCTCGCCCTCACACCTCAGTTGAAAAGAGGAATTTGGTTAGAAATGGGAGACCATCTGGGACATTTTTTAAAGAATGAAAATGCTCAATTCTCATCTTATCTCGGTCTTTTTCCAACCCTTCAAAACCATTTCACAATTTTTCCAGAAAAGTTTAACCTTTATCAAGCACCTTTTTTAAGCGCAGTTTATTTGGTTTAGTGATTATTGCTGATCTGCTTCAGAGGAGACAAATGGTTGTATCAAGTGCAATAACTAATTATCAAAAACATACATTTTCAAAGATTTGTTTTTGGTTTGCTTAAAGCGGCATTAGAGAGTGAAAAATGAGCCATGCAGACTCATTTGTATGAAAAATTTAGTCTGCGAGGTTTTTTAATAAACTTATCCAGGATGGCTGGATGTAATTGCTTTTGATCGTCTTTTGCTTTTAAAATATCTTTATGAATTGAAATTCTGCATAATGAGCCAAGGCGTTCATCCCCCATTGAATTCCTTAAAAAAGTTTTCACCCTATTTAAACATGAAAACGATGTTTCAGCTGAAGCACTAGAAATGGCAATAACAGCGTTAAGTTTCAATAATTTAACAAATTGGTATACACTGGTGAATACCAATGTGATAAATGTATTTCAATAATTCCATGGAGTTATCTTTTAAAAATCTTTATCTTGGTACACAAAAAAGTTGACTTCAAGCCTAGGTATATTAAAGAGAGGACCATATTTTGCTGATAGTTGTTGAATTTTTTCATTAGGAATAGCTGTTTTCCACTGCACAAAAAGTTTAGGATTGACTAAGTCAAGAAATGAAAAGCTCTCTGCATCCGTGAATCTTTCCTTAAGCATATTTGTTACACAATCAATGACTTCGTAATAGAGCTGTTTAAAATTTATATTTATCTCAGATTTTCGAGATGGAGGACCAGTTTTACTTTCAGTTGCAGAATAACAAATTTCAAAAGCTGTTTCATTGCGGAGGGAAATTAGAAAATTACCAAATTCTTCAATTTTTCTCATGCCAAATGCATAATCAGTAGACCTATTTTGTAGAATATCATATAAAATGGCTGATCTCTCCAAGATTTGGTAGTAAAGTAGTAAAAGGAAACAAAAAAAGAAATGATTCAAGGTAGTGGAGGAGGCCATCAGTACGTGTACTTGTTTCATCAGTCCATTTCCAAGGATTTTCACTTATCTCTGTAAAGGCTTTCACTAGTGTATCATAATTATTAAAAATAGCAGACACAGCTCGAGATTTGAAATACCACCTAGTTTCCCCTAGAGCAGGTATATCAACCCCATGAGATTTCAAATGGGATTTTCTTTCAGGACTGGAATTTGTAAAGGTGGAAAATGAAGAAACATTAGCAAAAAATATTTTCACCTCCTTAATTTTCAAAGCAGATTGACATAAAACCAAATTAAGCCTATGTGCTGCACAATGAAAAAAATAAGCATAGGGGTACACCTGTCTTAAAATTGCCTGTAAACCATTTAGATGACCACTCATCACAGATGCCCCATCATAAGTCTGCATCACTAATTTAGGTATTACAGCCTCTCCATATCTCTCTAAGATGCCTTTAACTATATCACTAATACCTTGTGCACTTCGGTCGGTACTAACATTTCTAAATTTTAAAAATCTTTCCACAATTTCACTCCCTTTATCTAGTCGTATAATGGCACTGAGTTGTGCTTTTGCTGTAACATCAGTTGTTTCATCAACTTGAATGCTAAAAAACTGACACTCTTTCATTTCATCATCAATCTCATCCTGAATGACTGAGTCAATACACTCAATTAAATCATTTTGGACATCAGCTGAAACCCCAGTAAAAAACTCCACCTTCATCCACTCTCTCTGTACCTTGCAGTCTACCTTGCAAACGACGGTCAAAAACAGAATCCAATTTTCCAAAGCATTTTAGTAATTCTCTATAATTACCCTGGTTAAGACTAGCCCTGCTCTCATCATGTCCTCTAAATGCTCATTCCTCTTTGGCAAGATGTAAAACTGCCTCCCCAATATTTTTTAGCATCTCTCTGTTTGCCTTACCTCCTCATTGTGCCTCTCTACTGCTTCTCGCCGAGCTCTCGAAAACAAAACATCAACACTCTCCCTCGAATCAAATAACCTCCACTGCTTGTATGCCTCCATGTGAGATTTTGTTTTCTCGTGTTTTATGCTGTCACCACTAAAACTATGCATGTTATGATAGCCTGTTGAAGCCCATGGAGACTTTCTAGGGGAAGAACGAAACAAAAGACATGGCCAGCAAAACAATCTATTCTTCCTCACACTACCACACAGCCAGTCCTTGTTCGAATACCAACTTTCTTGAAAGCTCCTATCATTCGTCTTTAGTGTAAGCTTCGGTATCGGCCTTGACATGCGAGCTATTTGTTTCTGCTCACTAATATTTCGTGAGGAAAACGATCTCTCTACCAGCTCTGCTACTATATCCTGACCATCAAAGGGGGAAAAGGAAATGGTCGATTGATTTTGCTCAACTCCTTCCATGACCGAAATAAACAATCGAAGTAATTATATGATCGTATAATAGCGTATCGTCAAAACAATCAAACTCCTGCAATGAGTTCATGGCATGACTTTTGGCGGAAGTATGCAAGAACTTAGCCTAATTTGGCCAATCAAAGAAGCGTATTTTCGAAGGAAGTCATGCTCTCAAGTGGAAAGCAGGAGTTTCAAACGTCATCAATAAGCAACGTATACAGCGCTCAGGTGGCTAAGGTTTTCCCTAATTGCGGGCTTTTTTTCGTAACACAACGCGTAGTCCAAAAACCCAAGCGCATTTCTTCCATGCACTTTATTGTAAAAGCCTGCAAACCAAAAGCTACGTCTTACAGACAAATCAAAGAATTAATTATCGAAAAAAATCTAAATTGCCGAAAAAGTAAGTCATGTTCAGCATGACAAGCATGACCTCTAGCTACGCCACTGTTTCTATGTGATTTCCACAGGGAACAAGCATGGGAAAGATGGACAAAGAAAAGTGAGCATGGTCTGACATCCGAGGATAGAGAGAAGTTGCTACACCTCTTAAGAAGCATGGTTTACACGCCGTGGATTTCAAATACAGAATCTCCATTTACAAATGTTGCAGAAGCAAAAAAGAAGCTTGTAGATTCAGATGTGTATAAAAATAATGCCCAAGTTCAGAGATGGCTCGAAGGAACGTGGTTTCCTGAGGAAAAACGATGGGCAAGAGCATATAGGGAACCTAAAATAGACATTAAGATCAATACAAATAATGGTATTGAAGCACAAAATAAAGTTTTCAAGTATAACTACCTCTCAAAGGGAACTGACAAGACACTAAGCGGTGTTGCTAAAGTAATTGTGGAATGCTTTTGCCCAGAACAGTACAAACTCTACGTGCTGAAGAATCTGAAGCTTAATAAGAACATCAAGGCTTACAACAAAGAAATTCCAGATTTTCTGCATGGTCAGCCTCATGGATTTATCAAGCATTGCATGCAAAGAATACATTCGTCAGCAGTGTACACAACGAAGGACGTGCAAGATCTTGGAGAGTTAAGATTTCAAGTAACATCAGAGAGTTCAAAGCAGACTTACTCGATTGATTTAGCCTCTCCCACTTGCAGCTGCCCTGACTGGAGAAAATTCAAATGCCCCTGTAAGCATATGTTTGCAGTGTTTGAAAACACAAGTGCTGACTGGTATAACCTGCCACTAAACTACAGAGAATCATCTTTGTAAACGATTGATAAGGATGTTAATGAATTGGAATGTGATGATGATCAACCAGAAGACATGGAAATTGACGACAATAACACCAGCACCCACACAGACAAAATCGAGTCAAGTAGCCAAGACAGCAAAAATGTACAACCAGTTGCTGTGGGACAACTTCCACAAAAAAGGACAATCGTACGAGATACTGCAAAACATGCAGCAAATATAACAAGGGCTACATTACAGCAACTTAAAGAACTGACTTACCTAAGCCAAGATGCAGACGTTTTGAGTGATGTGACGAAAGAGCTGCAGACCCTTATTTCTAAGCTCAGTGCCACTGTGCCAAAGAGCAGTGAAGGGATATATATTCGTGCTTCTCCAAAAAAGTCAAGAAAGGAAAACAGTAAACGAAAAATGGAAAAGTTAAAGAATATCGGTTGCATAGCAAAGATGAAAAAAACAGGAAAAAAACAGTTGGATTGGTGGCATCGAAATCGCGTTGGTACAAGGGCAAATATGCTAAAGAAAATGTACAAGGTCAATGTTCCAGTAGAAACGATAGAGGATGGAGAACAAGAAGAGCAACAGAATTTCTACTCATGTCTACATGCCACATCTGATAACTGGAGAAACATGTACAGAAATCTCCTGATTCCAGCTGAACTTCAATGTTTAAAACCAGGCTGTCTTGTTAGCGACCTCATTATTGAAGCTTTTCTTCAGTAAGAAAGTTACAAGAAGTGTAGTACAGTATTTGTTTTAATTGCTTATGGGCATCATTAACTCATTACTAAGTTGCAATTCACTCCACTTTGTTATTTTAATTTTATAATTACAGAAAATTTTACTTGCCTTGTACAGTACTTGTAAAAAGAGAGAGGATTAATGGGTTAATTGATGATTTTTTCTCAATGAAAACAATCCAGTAGATTAATAATTAATATAATTATTATTCTTGCTATATAGATACCTCAAATTTGAATATGCTGATGAAAATGTGAAACAATCCTCCATTGCATTGTCAAGCTATTTCTGTACCAAGCTCAGGTCATCTACCCATAAAACCTTCACAACAGCAAATGAAGCTGAAAAAAAAGTTCCCAGAAATGACAGGTGTGTCAATTTGTATCTGTTGTATTTGTATCTGTAACTTAAATATATAATAATGCAACTGCAATCAAAATACAACAATTATACAATTATAAAATATTTTTCAGGTCACTCTGGTCATTACTAATCTGGCATTCACCATAATTCATTTTGTCTCCTTTTTACATACTGTACATGTATACTTTGTCTTATTCCTATCAGGGAACTTTGGGAGTGTGCAAAATTGCTGTGATTTTTAGTCCAAGCTCGTCAAATAGGTGTGAGAGGGTTTTTCTTTCTTTGTTGCAGAGTCTTCCAGATTTCGTTTTTATGACTGCAAGGCCATCGTCACGGTATAAGCCGACGTTGTTTCCGTACCGTTGCTGTAGTTGGTCGAGTAAGAATAGCCCTGAGAAACCATGAAGGCACAAACTTCCTTGACGTAACATTTGACCTTAGCAACGACACCTACAAACCATATAGAAAACCCAATGACGAGCCCCTCTACATTCACAGATCGTCCAACCACCCACCATCAGTATTACGCCAACTACCCACATCCATCAACAACCGAATTAACACACTCTCATCTGGCAAAGACACCTTCGAAAATGCCGCACCAATTTACAACCAAGCTCTTAAACAAAGCAACTTCACCACCCAACTCACCTTTAATCTATCAAACATCAATGTAAACACCACGTACAACAGAAAACGTAACGTCACTTGGTTTAACCCACCATACAGCAAAAACGTAAAAACACACATCGCCCATGACTTCCTACAACTTATCGACAAACATTTCCCACCAAATACTATACTCTCCAAGATATTCAACCGACACACAATACGCGTAAGCTACAGCTGCGGCGAAAACATGAAAACTTTCATAACCAGACACAACAAGACTATTTTAAAAAGACTTAACCCAGACACAACCCAGAACAAGAACAACCCCCCAAAGAAATGTAACTGCAGACAGAAACACCTATGCCCGACAAATGGCAATTGCCTGAAACCCAACGTGATTTACAAAGCCGACGTGACAACGACTGACAACAACGAAACAAAAACTTACATAGGTGTTACTGCATGCGCTTTTAAGACACGATATCGAAACCACATTAAATCCATTACGAACATTAAATACCGGAACGAGACAGAACTTTCTAAATACACGTGGACACTGAAAGAAAACAAACGTAACTACAACATTAAATGGGACTTCATCAAACAACTTCCACCTCCGAACAAAAACCAAAGAACCTGGCATTGTTCCCACCAACCACGAATTATCCTCCCATCGTCCCTTGAGCTGCATCCATGTATGCACCACGGACTGATAAAACTTAGGCAGTCTCTTGATTAAATAGGCTGGAGTGGTTTCCCGAGAGAAAAAACTGTCAATATCTTGTTTAAAGACTTGACGTGGATGGAATAAAAAGAAGGCCAAGGAATGGTATATTGGGAAAGCAAAAGACGTCCAAGCCAAATTGCACGTAAGAACAAGATTTTGTGCCAACATGCACAACACCCAACCCCCCCTGAAGACGAGGAGCAACGGCAGAGCTGCGTGCTATAGGTTCTTTACTTTTCCTCCATATGAATGGGAATAATATTTTATTAACAGTATGTACGACTGTCTTGGGCATACCAAAGATCGTTCCTTGGTAGCAAAAAATACTTAATCCTAGAGTATTTGCCTGTAGTGTCCGACCCTGCAAAAAGACAGAGATCTAAAGGACCAAGAGGTTATTTTATATTTAAATTTTTTAACTAATTTGTCCCAGTCAGGCAGAGTGGAATTGCCGACTCAACATCTCAAAATTATGAAAGATTCTGTGGACCATTTTAATCTAACAGGTAGATCCGTTCTTGATTTCCATGGACCAAATAGCAGGCCTTCGGTATTATCAATATTTAATTTTGCTCCTGAAGCTTTTGTATATCGTTTAAACAAATTTACCAATACCAGCAGGCTGGAATCCTTTATCACGAAACAGGTGGTGTCATGTGCATATTGAAGGATCTTCGATCGGTCACCAGATGGCAGAGAAAAACCGTCGATCTCCGTCGAATCTTGAATGGCACGCGAGATAGGTTCGGCTGCCAAAACATACAAAAGGGGGGAAAGAAGGCAACCCTACCGTACTCTCCGGGAAATAGCAAAAGTACCCCCGAGAGTTCCATTAATTAAAACACGCGAGTATAAAGTGGTATATAATATTTGAACCCATGCTCGAAAGGATGTTCCGAAATTCATGTTTTCCAAAATTTTATGCAAGCTATCAAAAGCTTTTTCTTGATCCAGTGACAACAAGGCTCCACCGAGATTTTTTGAATTGGCATAGTCTATGCTGTCCTGGACTAGCCTTACCACTACACCCGAAAAACGCCCTGGAACACCACACGTTTGACATGGTGAAATTACACTGGATAGGACCTTGGCCAAGCGGCCAGTAAGTACTTTCACTAAAATTTTGTAGTCAGTGCATAATAAAGTTATGGGACGCCAATTTTTGGAATCCAATTTGTCCCCCTTTTTATATTGTAAAGTAATTATCCTAGTTCTTTGCGAGAGAGAAAATTGTCCTGAGGTACACCATGCATTGAGCACCGACACTAAATCGGGACCCATACATTCCCAGAATGTACGATAAAATTCATAAGTGAGGCCATCCACTCCTGGAGATTTATTGGAAGAGAAAGAATGCAAAGCTGCAGTGCATTCTTCTGCCCACTGTTCTTGGGCACGTATACGTGCTCCAGCTGCTTTCCGTAAGTGATGATAATATAATTGATCCTCTATTAATTAAATGTCAGCAGTAACGTCTTCTCCAGCATTAGAGACCTTCAGACTTCACGACGCGCGTTACAACGATGCGAGTTTGGCGCTCATTGCCTGGTGCGAATGCATACACTACAGCTGCCAAGTTCTTTTGGTGGGTTACCATCAGCCACACTAACATCAAGCCGGAAAAGACGACAGTCGAATATTTTTCCAAGGCCTAAAACACACACGAAAAATGTTTTTTGCTTGCCCCCTGTGATTGGTATGAATATACCAATTCCAAGGGGTGAAGCCAGGACAAAATTAGTTGAAAACGGCATGATGGCAAAAATGACATTTGAGTCCACGTGGAATGAAAATCAAATGAACGCTGAAATTTATAGTTTGTTTCGTGAGCTTTTTGAAAATGATAGCAGCCCCATGTTCACATTCCAGTATTTAAGGTTTGTTCATGTGAATTATGCTGTTTTGTGGAATTTTGTCGCACAGTATAAATTAAATCATTTGTTGGATTTTTTGTCACAGGTCTGTTAAAAAAGGTACTAGAATGTACGTTTAATAAGTTAATTTTTTTTATTATTACTTTTATATAGCACTCTTCCTGGTGCAAAGAAGCTTTGTATTCCCATAACCTCCACCTTGTTTCATTGGAATGCAAGAGGTTTTGTCTATCTGCTTGAGGGATACGTTGTATGTGGCAACTGAACAACCCCCCCTCAAAATGAAAATACAACAATCAACTATTAATAACTTTGTAAGTTTACAAAAACGAGATTGTCTTGGGTATGAATTTGTAGGATTGCAACAACATATTTATGTGTAATTTCAGTCTACAACTGGCTTTTTGATTTGATTTTTGCAAATGCAAGGGAGAGTAAAACAAAATTTTCCAAATAAATTAGAAATCGCATTTAAAGTAGAGACCTTTCATCTTTTTATCTTTTAATCAGCTGTGAGTACTTTTAGTTATAAACAGGTAAAACTAGGAAAGTAGCTAGTGTTAAGTTAAAATAAATGTATTTGTGAAGATGTGAATTGCCAACTTCTAACAATGTGCTACAGTCATTATTATTATAACATGAAAGATAATTGTATTTTTAGATCTCGCATTCAGAGTCTGAAAATGATTTCACTCCCGGAGGTGAAAATTTGGTAAATGACAAGAGGCTTGAAAATGAAGAAAACCCTGTAAAAGAACAAATTACTGTAAATGACTCGAAAAGCAGTATAAGTGAAGAATTGAATTGTACTCCAAGAGTAAGGTAGTCACATATTAACTACGTGTCACAAATAATTTTCCTTATTGATGGAAAAGCACATTCAGTTGATTTGCTCATTATTGTCTTTTTCAATACTTTTTCAGCAATTATGAACATATGATCATAGAAAAAGAAATCATTATTTCAGACGATGAGGTCGAGCTTGTTGAAACGTCACAGGCTGAGAGAAAGTAAGATAATTGGTCAAAATAAAGTAATTTGTATCGATTGCCTAATTGTCCTGCAGTTTGATTTGGTGGAACACACTTTAAACGATGGCCATTTTGTGGGTATTTTTTCAGTGAGGAATATGCATCCTTACAGTCGATATTGTCAGATATTTCTGCAAAGGAAATTGACAAGGAGTCTAGATCATTCATAAATGTTCATCGTAGCCAAATATGGGTCGACTCTTGTCGTCATTTAAACAAGAAGAAAAAATTCAAATCAATCAAATTCAATCCAAAATTCAATCCAAAAGCTGCTGTGTCAATTAAATTTGCTGATAGCCATGGAGGCAATGAGGGTGCTGTAGATGCAGGAGGACCGTGCAGAGAATACTTTAGGCTATTGCTCCGCGCTGTGAATCTTGAAGCTGGGATATTTTGTGGTCCTGAGGACAATCGCGTTCTTTTCAAAAATGCCACGGGTGAGAACAGGGAATTGATCAAGCGAAGTTATGATTTCGTATTGTATTAATAATTTTATGTAATTATTAATACATAAAATTATTAATACGGGTGGAGGTTATGTAATTTGGTTATTGCCTGGTCGCTTGTGCACGGTGGACCTGCAGGGAATTTCTTCAGCAGGTCGCTGTATAACGCTATTGCATTAAATGGAAATTGCAGACAAACATGTATGGAAGATATTGCAGACATAGAACTTCGTGAAAAACTTACCCTGGTTTGTTGAGATGATTTAGATATATCATTACTTGACTTGGACAAAACTTTATTACGTATTAAAGATATTTTTACGTTCCATTTTTCTTTCAATAAAGTTGTTTTCTTGATTTTCAGATTAGTGATGCCAGTAGTGTTGATGACATCAACAAAATACTTGAAGACAACGTTTTAAAGAACATGTTAGAAGCCCAAGGAGCTCTTCCTTTTGTGTCAGATGTAAATGAGAAAACCCAAATCTGTACGTTGTTGGTCCAACATGCTCTATTGGATTCTGTGCAGTTTCTTCTCAATGAGCTTAAAGAAGGACTTGAAACATTTGGCGTTTTGGAATCGATTCAACGATATCCTGAAAAATTTAGAGAAGTATTTTTCATGGGCGAAATGAGTAAATTAGATGTGCAACTGGTTGATCTTCTGTTCATTCCTAATTACGACAAAGAAGGATCAAATATTCGATTTTCACAAGAAGAGGCTGTTGTATATTTTCGAGATTACTTACAGGATTGCATGGGTAGGTAAAATGAACCAATATTTAGCGTGATTTCAACAATATTCTGCTATCAATTTTTCTGTTTGGAGCAACAAACCTCTCTTGTAACTGTTTGCTTTTCTTAGTTTCATTTTATTGTTCTCATTCAATTTAAGATGGGGACGCCGAGGCAAGCCTGACTCAAGTATTTATTTTTGCAACTGGGGCATACTGCCCACCTCCTCTTGGATTCGACAATGAGTCTTCCCTTGAATTCACAGAAGGAAAATTTCGAAAGCAAATACATGTGTTCCAGTTCTTTATTTACCGTTAGGACACAGCGAGTATTCCACATTCAAGACAAGCTTTGATTTTGGAGTATTAAATTCGCCCAGTTTTGGGAAAGCTTGAAGATTAATGAGTACAGTGCAGCTGTGTGTTATGTTGTTCAATTAACAAGTTTAGGTTGTTGCAGATTTTAAAAACAATCTCAAGTGTTTTTTACAATGTTTTTTTTTTCAATACTTTTACATTTAATTAATTTGAATGGTTTATATGTAAGTTGTAGTCATTAACGTTAAGTAAGTATTCACCAACAAACTGAATAGCTCTTTGATACAGGATTTCTCCATCTTCAGTAGATAACGGTTCAACTGTTTGCAAAAGTTGATGCAAACCATGTTCATCGAGAACATTTTCATTAGAAGAAACATCTACATATGGGTTATCATTCAACTCCAACAGTTGTCCTGCACTCAGTCCATGCACCTGACCCCCTGCATTAAATCTTTCAAATTGTAGAGTGGTACGATGGCGATATCTGTAAAACAGTTGTACTGGTGAGCAATTTTCTTCTGTTGAGATATTATGATTGTTATGTGCTGCGATGAACTCCAATAGCGCTTTGTTTAGCCTTGGCAAAAAGATGTAGTGAAGACAGTACAAATCGGTACTGTTCGACGGGTCCAACAACCCTTGATTTTCCAAATTGTAAAACTTTTGTTTGAAAACATTAATAACTTGCTCCTTTACAGTTCTGTTGTGGCGCTCGATTCGCTGGTTGTGTACAGAGCTGCCAACAATAACAGGTTGGGATGATGAGCCATGCACGTCTACCATTGAAGTAGAAGTTTGAATTCAAGTAAACACCAAAGAACAACCTTTCAAAATAAGGCTTTACTCAACACTAAATTAAAATCTACAAAATGTCTCTTTATAAGTAATCATCTTAAACTAGGTGCGGTTACTAAGGTGGGTGTACTTCATGTAATAATCACTAAAATCACCCTCTCCTATTTGAAATAACTATATAATCTAAATTAAATAATCTAAATAAGACTGGTCCTGCCCGATTGTCTTTTTTTTCTTTTAGTTCAATGTCATGTATATGTCAGGCGGTCGGGTTGTTTCTTTTCTCTCTGCGAGCAGCGTAACGGTAGTGTCTGTTGTGAAGACGACTGATCAGGTAGAGCGGGATCCTCTAGTAGTGAGTTCCCTTCTCTTTCCTTCTTTGGCGAACTATAATTTAGTTTCCTAGCGTCTTTTGTGGCCAAAGGAGATTGACGTGGGTCGTCTACAGTATTATCTTTATAAGGCGATAGTGGTAGCGGTTTCTCGCATAACTTCTCTTTTTCCTCAGCTTGTGGAGCGAGGAACTTAGTGGCTACGGTATCTTCTCTTCCATCAGGAAATTTTACATGCGCATACTGAGGATTTGCTTCGATTAGCTCTACTTCATCGACAGATGGGTCATACTTAGATTGTTTTACTTGACGCTTCAACAGTACCAGTCCAGGTTTGGATAGCCACGTTGGTATGGAAGTTCCACTCGTCGATCTTCGTTGGTGGATAAAGAGGCGTTCATGCGGTGTTACATTAGTAGCGGTGCACAACAGAGATCTGATGGAATGAAGAGCATCATGCAAAACTTCTTGCCAGCAGCTGGCCGGTAGTCCTCGCGTCTTCATCGCGAGGGAAATAGTCTTCCATAGAGTGCCGTTAAAACGTTCTACTTGGCCGTTCCCTTCTGGGTTATATGGTGTGGTTCGGCTTGACAAGATTCCTTTCTGGAAGAGAAAGTCTTTAACTTTTGCACTCATAAAGCCAGAACCTCTATCCGAATGTATGTAAGCTGGCATACCGAAAATCGAAAACAATTCGCAGAGACAATTTATAATTGACTCCGCGCTAACGTCTTTACAAGCGAAAGCAAAAGGAAATCTTGAATATTCATCTATTATAGTAAGAAGAAACTTATGATTAGTCGTCGGCAATGGTCCTTTGAAGTCCAAACTAAGTCTCTCGAAGGGTTGAGTCGCTTTTACTAAATGGAAATTTTCTGTTTTGTAATATTGAGGCTTACTTTCCCTGCATATCTTGCAGGACTGTGTCATGAGCTTAATTTCATCCATAGAGAAAGGGAGATTACGGTTTTTTACAAAATGTGCCATCCGCGTTATTCCTGGGTGACACAAGGATTCATGGAGCTCTATCAGCTTATCGGAGGTCATGCTCATTGACATAAAATGCTTACCCGTAAGGTAGTGTCTTCACTTCCTCACGGCTTCTACGATAGCCGCTGCTTCTTTTTCCACTGAAGCGTGCTTAAGTTCTGATCTGCTTAACGTCCTCGAAATAAACGCAACTGGGCGACCGTTTTGGTTGAGAGTGGCTGAAAGAGCAAACTCGGAAGCGTCTGTTTCCACCTGAAAGGGCTTTGCTTCATCAACACCTTGGACCACAGATTTTTCGACATCGGACTTAAGTAGATTAAACGAAGTAAGAGCATCGCCTACCATTGGAAATACAGAATTCTGTGTCAGTGGTCTTACTTTTGCTGCAAAGTCTTTGATCCATTGAGAATAGTAGGAAGAGACCCACAATCCGTTTCTGTTCTTTTAAATCACGGGGGACAGGTAACTCTCGCAGAGGTCTCAATCATGCCGGGTCCGGCTTTATTTCTCCATTAGCGATTATACTACCAAGGATGCAAATACTGGTTGTTGAGAAGGAGCATTTGTCTTGATTAAACGTCAAATTTCGCTTTCTAGCTGCTTGAAGAAACTTTTCGAGATTTATGTCATGCTGGGCTTGGTCCCGGCCACAAATCGTGATGTTGTCAAGATACACAAACGTGTCTTCTAGACATTCTTTAGCGATAAAGTTGTCCATCATTCTTTGGAAAGCTGCTGCTCCATTCGTTACTCCAAATGATACTCGACGGAATTGGTACAAACGCTGGTTAGCTTCAAAGCAGTATATTTCTTTTCTTCTTTTGAATTGGGACTTGATGATACGCACTTTTCAAATCAACGGTGCTGAAAACTTTGTACTGAGCGATTTTAGAGACGATATCATCTATTCTAGGCAAAGGATAAGCATTCAGGTGTGTGAATCTATTTATAGTTTGCGAGTAGTCAATCACTAATCTTTTTTTTTTTGTCGATCGTTTCTAGTTACGACCACTTGTGCTCTCCACGGTGATTCACTCGGTTCAATTTTACCTTCATCTAGAAGCCTTTGTACTTCAGTTGTAATAAATTCTTTGTCTTCTCGGCTATATTTCCTTGATTTAATAGCTATCGGTTTACAACCCTCTGTTAAATGTTGGAACAAAAGTGGGGGGTCTAGGTTCAAAGCTGTTAAACTGCAAAGTTTCAAAGGAGGGGCAGAACCACCGTACTGGATAGTGACACTTTCGTGCAGGGCTTGCCAAGTTTGCCCTAGAATAACATGAGTACACAGATTGGGCAGAATATATAGCTTAACCTGAGAATACAACCGGCCTTTTAACGTTATAACACTAAGACAATATCCTTGCATTTTTGTGGAATAATTACATGTAGCCATCGTAACTTTTTCTTTGGTCTGATGAACTGTCAATGAAAGTTGCTCAACCAAATCAGCATGTATGAAGCAATGAGTACTTCCTGAATCTACCAGAGCTGTAACAGTTCTTTCTTTTAAACGAATGTCAATACATGAACTTAGCAATGACTCCCCCATTGCAGCTAGAGTTATGTAAGCTGATTGAGTTAAATTAGAGACTACTGCTGAAGAACGGCAAACTCTTTGGTAGTGCCCTTTTTTTTTTACATTTATTACAAATAGCTTCTTTCGCAGGGCATAATGACCGGGGTGTTGCTTATTACCACAAAAGAAGCACTTAGCGGAACGTGAAGTGGAGGCTAAATACCTCTCGCTTAGTCCTTCTTCATTATTTTCGTCATGTCCGTTAGATGCCGTAACAGCAGCGCTTGTGAAGGGATTCGAATTGTATGTCCCCGATGATTTTTGTGCCAAATCCCAAGCTCGAGCTTGATCAAATGCCGTTTCTAAATCCAACTGTTTATTCTCCAGTAAACGTTGTCGAATGCTTCCCGACAATAGACCACTAATGAAAGCATCCCGGATTGCTTCATCCCGATATTGAGCAGCAGAGACTTGACGAAAATTGCAGTCTTTACTTAGGTGTTTCAGTTCTTGTAGGTATTCGTCAAGGGTTTCGCCTGCTTGTTGTTTCCGTGTTGCTAATTTATGCCGAGCAAAAATCTCGTTCGGAGGCTTGACATATAAGGTTTTCAGCATGGTGATGGCTTCATCGTAGGTTTCAGTATCACAGAACAGTTGATAAACATCAGAGGTGACATAATTCACCGGAATGTGTAGTTTATTTATTCGTGTATCAGGAATGGACGGTATTGCATCGATGAAGTTCTCAAATGTCGCGAGCCAGTGCGTCCAACGTTTTGCAGCGCCTTGCGCGTTCGGAATAACATCAAACCGTTCAGGTCTCAAAACTTTATCCATAGGTATAAGGCGAGTGTTGAGTAAATTGAAGTAGAAGTTTGAATTCAAGTAAACACCAAAGAACAACCTTTCAAAATAACGCTTTACTCAACACTAAATTAAAATCTACAAAATGTCTCTTTATAAGTAATTATCTTAAACTAGGTGCGGTTACTAAGGTGGGTGTACTTCATGTAATAATCACTACAACCATATTCCTCCATATTTGAACATTTTCACCCCCATAGCCGGTGCGTATTTTTAATGGCTGGCCATACTTCTCGACTGCTTTGTTAAATCGATCCAAGACCGTAGATGCGCGGTTATTGTTTGAAAACTTGCCAAATGTAACCAATCGGCTAAAGCCATCAATGCCATGATGCAGCACAAACTTCCAACGTATTAGTTTATGATTGCCGTCAATGTGCCACAGGTAATTTGGGCATGGCACAGAGTAACGTCGTCGGCGAATTCGTAAGCTACTACGTGTTTCAACACCACGAGGATCTACTTCTTTAATGATACTTCTGATTCGGTTTCTTTGAACGTTAACACCTTTGGCGCGCAAGTGACCTTGTACCATCACCTCACCAGCATTTGGGTGACCTAGTTTGATTGCTACAACAGAACAACGTAACTCGTCGTTTGAATGATTTGAAAATCGTCCCTCGTAAGGAATATTGTATGCTTGTATTGCAGCATATACTGTTGGCCGGGAAACAGCCAATAATCGAGCTATTTCACTGATAGGTGTCTTTACTGATAGAAAATTTTCTAAATACTCTCTCGGGATATTCTTACTAGGTCTACCAGGAGCATGCACACTATGAAATGACAAAACAAGTTTCTAAACATCTATTTTCATACAATTTCTATTTCAAAATAAAATACTAGGAATATTAATGTTATGTGTATGCATCTCACATAAAACAAGATTTTTGTTATCTTCGAAGTTATCTTCTAAACACATCATTAAAACACTATTATGGCTTTCTATTATATGTTACATGTAAGCCAATGACATAATAACTAGGAAGATAAAATTGAGCTGGTAGCTATTATTTAAAGAGACTTGCGTCGAGATTCCAAAAAAAGATAACGATAATGCTCGTTATTGTGAGGCAGTACTTTTGCCATCCCAATCGAAATGAAATAAAATTAATGTATGTTGTGTGCGTATGTATACCTGTCAATTTCAAAATCTCCTGAATTACTTTGAAAGCGATCAACCTGTCAGTTTAAAATAATAATTTTAGACTGTCATATTGCTACTCCAGTGTCAATATTTGAAATAATTGTGATCAAGGTAACGAGACGTCTGGGTTAGCACAATAATCCCAGAATCTTGACGTGCAATTCATCCATGTTGGTGGTCTGATACAAAAGAATATTTTATCAGAGTTATTGTTGGCACCAGCAGGCGTGGGCGAGCAACATTGTTTTGCAAATCTCAAGAGAATGGTTGCAAGTCAAGAATACTTTTTTCCTAATGAGAAGTCAAGGACAAATATTCGGTTTCCAGAAGTTTGACTTTTTAAAATGAATTTCTATAATAATCTAAGGGAAATCACCAGCAATGGCGATGACCCTCAATTTTTTATTCAACATCATTTTTATATGTATAAGTAGACAGGCTGAGACAGCCCCTCGTCAAAGCATTTCAACAAACAAACATCTCTGTGTACCATTATTGTGATGAAAAAGTGCTGAGAAAAAGGGATAAATACCTGATTAAGTTGCTCGCTGGAATTTCCCGACGACTCGTTGCTCGCTTGTCGAATTGCGTTAGCAACTGCCTCCGAAATAACTCTCGTTAACTGTTCGTTGTCCTCCATGTTGAATTTCTCCCGCCAATTAATTATCGACCCAATTTTCAGGTAAAACAGGCTAAGCCTGTTTTAAATCGCAATGACATAGCACTTGCGATTTATTAAATAACAATGACATTGCACTTGCTATTTAATAAATCGCAATAACATAGCACTTGCGATTTATTAAATAACAATGACATTGCGCTTGCTATTTAATAAATCGCAATGACATAGCACTTGCGATATAATAAATCACAAATAAATTGCACTTGCAATATATTAAATGGCAATGACATTGGACTTGCGATTTAATAAATCGTAAAAACAATGCACTTGTGATTTAATAAATGACAATGCAATTGCACTTGTCATTTAATAAATTGCAACAATTTTGATGCCTGCAAGTCAAAATACAAATTAAATTGCATTAGAAACATAAATGTTTTGTGTGTTTAACCCTGGAGGGCCCAAAATTTGCTTACGTGAGAAAAAAATTTTTTATCAGTCAAGAACACTTACTATGGGCCGGTTAAACATAACAGAGGTCTTTTTTAAGAATTTCGTGCAATCCGAACAAATTGGGCAAATGGGTCATATGTGACCCATTGGGCCTTCGTGGGTGTTAAGTAATACAATACACTAACAACAAAATAATGACTGTATATTAAAATTGTAACCGTTTATAAAAAAAAGAACTATGATAAAACTGTATGTGTCTGGTAAAATATATAAATGGGTAATTTAAAAAAGATTTGAACATGGCAAAAACTATTTTACATGATATACCTTATAACAATTTCAAATTGGTAGACTTCAAAGTCATGTAGCAAGCCACTCGGTGAGCACCTACACCAAACCTTGAATCCCCATGGATGGGGTTTGCCTTTTACATACTGACGAATGTTGCCAAACTTGCCTTTGTATGGAATCATCATTTAATCAATTGACTGATGCTGAATTGGAATGACTTGAAGGCATTGCATGCGAAACATTTCCAAGAATGGTTGAACTTTCCAAAAATTGTTTTTCTTCTCGTCATCAGTAACAATTTCATTATCCACAAAATGAATTGTACCTAAAAGCAGCTTGAACCTGTTCCTGCTCATAATATCAGCAACTGCTGGGTATCTAGTTCCATTTTCCCAATACATTTTGTAAGATGGCATTTCAGCAAGACCCATTTTGAAATACATACCTAATAACTGCTCCATTTCTTTCAAAGATGCATTGGCACATCTTCCATGTTTCAGTGTGCTATATCGGTTCGTATGCCTCACAATATGCTCTAACATTTTGTCAGTAATGAATCGCTTGAAATACTGTAATGGCGTTTCAGACAAACCAATAGGATCTGTGGCCGTCACAGTTTTTCCTTGAAATTTGTCACTCTGTGGCTCGAATGTTTTCTTTTCCCATATATACTGGACACTGCGATTCTTGTTGTTGACTAATCTGGCAGTCAAGGGTATGTCCTCAGCACTATTATAAACCTCGGGATCTTCACCATTGCAATTGCAACCATCATCTTCGTTGCCACTCAATACTGGTTCATTCTGAAAACCAGCCTCAGCCAAGCTCCATGATTTGTCCCCACAAGACATACTATCATCTTCAGACCAATCAGTATAACCACCCTCACTGAAATCGCTTTTGTCATCATCAAGAATTGCGAGAACATCGTTGGTTGTGTAATCATTGTTCTTTGTGGACATGATTGACTAATACAATGTAGAGGAAAAGATTTAAACACTGAAAATTTACAAAATGAATTCATATATACAAATAAGAAATTTGTATTTAACAAACAATTCGACAAAACGTCTACAATATAGTTCATACGCTCAATATAAACTGCTTATATATCAACAAGGCAATAAGAGGCTCACCTGACGTAAAGCCCAGTGGGTCATATATGACCCGTATATTTCAAATTGAATTTATTTCATGAAGAAAGCAACAATACTGCACAAAAACTACTGAAAGATAAAGGAAGAGCTAAATATTTATCAGTGTGCAGTGATTTTCTCACAAAGTCCCTATAAAAGCATGATGGAGACTTGAAATTCACCAACAAACATCAACACACTCATGGGCAAAGGACGCCATCTTTGTGAAAATATTCTGCTGACATAGCATATGCAATAGCTACCAGACCAACACGAATAAGGGGTCATATATGGGACTTTGGCCCAATAGGGTCAATATTTATTGTGTGTAAACGCATAGGTTCAAATCGGCCCATGAAAATCGTGGGGTCATATATGACCCCTTGGGCCCTCCAGGGTTAATTTTTTTACAAACGGCGCCCCATACTCTAGGGGCCACTGTTGCTCCCTAGCAACATTGAATATATTACCCTGTCTTTGATCTTGCATACAAAATTTTCCCATTTTAAGCCAATGTTGCTGCTGAACAACATCCAAAACTTGTCCCCAGCCCTAAAAAATGGTGCTCAGCTAAATACTACAGATTCTATATGTCATCGAAATGGCTGCATCAACAAGTCAGTGTGGGAGTGTGTGTAAGGTAAGAAAATTTCATCTAGTTCTCTTTTATGCGTAAATTTTATGGGATTTTTATACATAGCAAAGAATAATAAATATCTAAAAAATATTTTGACATATTCAAACTCAGGATTTACTGTAACATACTTGTAGAAACGATCGTAACATAAATGTGTTGCTCACAAGCAACATTGGCTTCTAATGAGAATATGGACGTCATGTAAGTAGATGCTGTATTTTATAATATTCATTTATTCTTAGAAGTAATGACTTGAATTTTATTAAAAAAATACAAAACTTGTAATTGTAGATCAAACAATTGTTCTCTGAGATACCTTTTTGTAACATATTTTCCATATATTTTGATTTTCTTTGTGACATTTTGTAAAATTTTGTATGTTTTATAATTGCAGTCAAAGTTATTGAATTTACCAATGTTTTGGATGCTGTGACAGCTTCAGATAGTGCATGTGAAGTTTTGTCATATGAAGATGAGCTAGATATGATATTGATGATCTGTTGGAATTAAATGATGTTGAGCTGTTGGGGTGGAATGATGTTGAAAGAGCTACACCAGGTTGTGATGATGCTAAAGCTGAAGACATAAATGACATTGGTCATGCTGAAGACATGCATGACAATGGTGATGCTAAATACATGGATGACATGCTTCTACTGTTTCATGGGAATAGTTAGATTACAAAAGACTGATGATTACTGGAGCAATGAATTGCGGTATGGACAAATTGCAGACAAGATGTCGCGCAACCCATTCAGCCAAATTCATCAAAGCCTTCATTTTTTGGACAACAATGTGATGTCTGATGAAGACAAGGCTGATCGTGTGTGGAAGTATGACCTTGGTTTAAAAAACTATACAGACTAACTTTTCAATAATCAGCAGTGAGGAATTTCAATCAGTCAATGAAATCATGGTACCATTCAAAGGACGGTCTATTCTGCGTATGTACGTTCCAAAAAAACCTAAGAAGTGGGGCATAAAACTATGGGGTTGTGCTTCACCAAATGGCATTCTCCACAGCTTTGATGTCTATCAAGGGAAAGGTACAGGATTAGAAGGAGAAAACTGCATAGGTGTGGATTCGGTGGTAATGTTGTCCTTCAATTAACTGAGACCCTGCTGAAGAAGCCATATAAGGTGTTTGCAGACCACTTTTTCATCAGTTTTGCTATGGCTACTGAATTGAAAAAAAGGGGTCTCCAGTATACTGGTACAATTAAGGCCAATTGCTTACACAAAGCACCCCTAAAGTCAGAAAAAGAACTCAAAAAATTTATCAAATTATATACTGTTTTTGCCAAATTTTTGCATATCTCTTTTCAATATGTTCATTGCATTTTTATACCTAAATGAACATTGTTGCTCAGGAGCAACATTTCAGAAAGGCGAGTTATACTAGCAAAAAAATTAAAATAGCCTCTTTACCTGTTATGTGACCCCAAATGTACCCACAATCCAGCTGGTTATAATTTTAGCACAAGTTTTAGAATGCTTGGCCCCTAGAGGGTTAAGGAAAAAATTTAAAAGGTGAAAGGACCTCCCTCGGTGGGAAGCACTGCTGACAAATTAAACAGTTGTTGTGCCTGTTCGGCTACATTTGTTGGATCTTTAACAGTTGCTGTATCATTTGTAGAGGTGTCTTTACCAGATACCACAACTGATAAGTTCTTTATAAATGGAGAATTCGTTGTGTCGATTTCCGACCCTGTGGCAAAAGAGGCGTTGTCGTCACTCGGGTATTCAATATCAAATAGATCGAGATATTTGTCTTGGTCCATACTGTCATCATTTGAATTTACATCATCTTCATCATTAGGGTCATTGTTTGATTCTTCATTTTCCGTCATATCATCAATATCATCATCATCGTTCATTTTGTTGTTATGCTCATTGTCCTTTCATAATTGTTATCATCGTTTTCATCATCCATAGGCAGGGGCACATTCTCTGGATGAGATTCCTCTATCGCATTCGCTGTAGTTGATGTCGCTTTATTGGAAGATTGATCCGTACCCATCATGGACCAAGGGCATTCGTCATTCTTGTCCATCGAGACGAGTGGCAGAGATTCCTTGTCTTCGTCACTGGGATATTCGGACGACTCTTCTTGGTTAATGCGTTTCTCCTCAAGTTGGGGCGAGTTAGTCGGGGAGTGACGTCTTTTCTCACGTCGTCTAGTTGGACTTGTTGGTGGGTCCAAAAATTTTCCGTTTTCAGCAGTGTAACCACTTTCGGTAGGGGCAGAAGATATCATAGCACCGGAAGCGCAGTCAGGAGCTGGCTGGTTATTATTATTTAATGGGGTGGATGACCCATCGGCCCTCTCAGAGAGAGTAAGTTTAGAAAGATTGCTCCCTGCAACTGCCGCATACGAAACTAGTAGCAGTGAAGGAGCAACAGTTACAGAAAGTTCTGTATTATTATTACTATTATTGCTACGACTTGTAGCACTATTATTTTTATTTTGATTATTATTTAATTCCTGCTCTTGTTGTTGTGAGCCGGTATTTTTGTTGTTAGGACAGTCTGCAATGACATGCCCTTCCTTATGACATTTAAAGCACACGGGTTTTTGTCCCCTGTACTTAACTACACACCAGTGGCCTGATATACGCAAACGAGCTGGTATGTTTGCAGTTATTTTCATGAGCACATTATGCTCTCCTGTGTAAATGTTTTTGTGCACCACCGGTTCAATGGTTTGATTCCTCCACTGTATGCTGCAAGAGCTGTAGTAATGGCTTCGTCAGGGATGCCATAAGACAATCGGGATATATATGCCCAGGTAAAAGGTGAAACTGATTTGAATTCCACGGGTTTACCATGGACAAAGCAGTCTTGATTGGAAAACGCTTGCATTTGTCGTGCATGATTTAAAGTTAGTCGATATCGCTCTGGCGAAATTTGCACCACAGCCTCGACGATACAAGACAACTCCCTTGTCTTCAGCAAAGTGATAACATCCTTAGCCCCTTTTTGGGAAGTGGGCAATCGGGATGTAGAATGATATCAATGGTCCTCGAAGCCTAAGGTATCATTATTTATCTTATTATTATTACTTATTGTTATTATATTATTATTTTAATTACTATTATAAATTACTTGCAAAAGGGGGGCGTATGATTAATTAGAAATGCATGCAGTCATGCATTCGATCATACAAACAAGAAGAGACATTTATACAGGAAAAAACGCCTAAAGCTGAAATGTCTTTGGTCAAACAGACCAATTAATACATGAAAAAAGTTTATAGCACACTTACACCAGTTTAGTATTAACAACTAGTGTAAATACACGTAAGGAAATAGCGTATCTTCGATGCAAATGCGCTTGACTACGCCCACAAGAGATATAGAATCGCCGTTTAAATGTATAACAATGCAAATACAAAATGGCAAGAAAATTTTACAAGCGAATACTGATTTCACCGTAGAACAGAAAAAGCAAAGGCACAACACACTAGTTTTGTTAGGAAACTAGATTGAAAACATCAACGTGCTTCGCGTGAAGTAGATATAGTTAGATTAACTTGAACAGATAACGCTCAAGCAAATTACACGAGAAAACAACCACGCTGAATAGCAGCAATCAGCCTCAATGAAGCAGACATCTGGTCTCTCTTTATGAAGGAAATCGACTATTGTCTGTTTCGATGGCTTGAAGCATGGATTAGGCATCCACTTCGAACAGAGCATAACAGTACTCCTTTGCAGCTTTGGATCAATGACATGCGATTGAATCAAAATGCAGCTCTTCCTCATGAAAACATAGACTGGGAGACTTATGGCATAGACTGGACAGGCTTTGTTCCAGCAGAACTTGAAGTTGAAGCATCAACAGTAGAGGTGCCAGAAAATATATTCTCTTTCAACGCAAAAGTAATAAATGAATTGAATACAATTATAAGAGAAGTTATTGACACTAATGGTGACGTTGTAGAGCAGTACTACGTGGTAAGAGATTATGTCAAACAACTGGATTCACGGTAACCCAACGGGATCCCGTTGAGTCACCTGAATTTTTCAGGTTCATGAGACAATTGCTTTAATTGTCCAGCTACGTGCGAAGGTCATATCTTCATTTAATTTCAAACACCGCACTGCATATAACATTCTTTCATACGCTTACCATTGTCAACATACAAGTTGATTTCCACATGGGGCATGTGCAAAAATGAAAATTACAATAGAATAGTGAACTACTTACATTTTACGATACACAAGACACTAAAATGTACATTAAATGAAGTAATAGCTAGTTGAGAAAGCTATTTACAATTAG